CCAAAGAACAAGTAATTAATAGGCTTCGTAGTTAAGTGGTATAATACTTGCTTCGGGTGCAAGTGGCCTGGGTTCGATTCCCGGCGAAGCCCCCTTTTGTCCGATTTATAAGTCATACAACTAAATTAAATTTTACAGTGTGAATATATTTTTTGATTTTATAGTTGATATAGATAATGTTCGTCTAGTATTCAAAGATAGTTATAATAAACAGATGGCCTCTTAGCATAGTTGGCAGTGCGTTTCCCTAGTAAGGAAAAGGTCGTGGGTTCGACTCCCGCAGAGGCCTTCCTCTTTTGTTACTTTTTCATTCAATAGACCTGTTCTAAATTTATTTTTCTTTTTTATAGTTCTTTTATTAATATTTAAAACTTTATTCTTTTCTAAAAATCCTTTCACTTTTAAATTCAATATAAGATTTAAGGTAAATGGTCTCGTGGCGCAGTGGAAACGCGTTTGCCTCCTAAGCAGAAGATCGTGGGTTCGACCCCCACCGGGATCGTTTACCATTTATTATTGATTATTTTAAACACAAATACCATACCCTTGTTAATTATAATATTTTTATCAATAATATTGATAAGACAGGGACCAAGAAAAACTTATAAGATAAACAAATAAGTAGCAAGCGTGGCCGAGTGGTCCAAGGCGGCAGTTTAAGGTACTGTTCTTTTCGGAGGCGTGGGTTCGAACCCCACCGCTTGCATTTTGCTTAACCTTATACTAGATCTTTTTTATCTTTTTTTAGTTCTTGAAAAAAACTTGAAATATTATTTAACACTGATACAAATAAAAACAAACTATAAATATTACAGTTGAAATTACATTCATATTTTATTATAATCTTGATGAATGTATTATTATAGAATATAAATGAATAAATATTAAATTAAGTTAATCATTATTTTTATTTAAACGTGAATTTCTATATGTAAATCATAATATGTGCAATTTAAAACATTTAAATAAAAATGTAAATAAAATACTTATTAATATATAAGTGCATATTATGTTAAAATGTATCTTTTATTTTTATGATAAACAATTATAATGAAATTTAATATATATATGTGTCATTTTATTACATCGATGAATTAATATAGCTTTGTATATTTATATATCAAATATTTATTTTTTATAAATTAAGTAAAATATTTCTACATTTATATTTGAATTTCTTTCTTAGTGATTATGATATGTTTTAAATCCAACATATTTTAGAGTTTTATCTCAGTCGCATCTTATTTATAAGTTTTATTTCCAAAATTTTGAATTTACATACAAAAATATGTAGCAAACATAATATGCGATAAAATATATGGTAATTTTTATTAATGTACATATTTAATTAATATAGTTAATAAATCAATTAATATTTTTATGATAATGATGAATATTATTTTACTGTATATATTAATGAAATTTAACTATATTATTTAAATGTTTCAATTATAACAATTTATTGACCAATTAAACTATAGTTAATATTTTTATTTCGAAAAAAATGCCGTATACATGTCATTATAAAACAAGAACAAATTTGATTTAGTTTGAACAATAATATTACAGTCTTGTAGATTTTTGTTCCAAGAACCTCGATAGAAGATTTCAATGTGTTGGCTTTGTAGTTAAGTGGTAAAATACCCGCTTTGGGTGCGGGTGGCCCGGGTTCGATTCCCGGCGAAGCCCTTTTTGCCTTGATATACAATAGAATAAGATAATTTCTTTTTAATAATAACTTTGATAAGAAATTTGATATTCAACCAAAGAACAAAGTAATTAATAGGCTTCGTAGTTAAGTGGTATAATACTTGCTTCGGGTGCAAGTGGCCTGGGTTCGATTCCCGGCGAAGCCCCCTTTTGTCCGATTTATAAGTCATACAACTAAATTAAATTTTACAGTGTGAATATATTTTTTGATTTTATAGTTGATATAGATAATGTTCGTCTAGTATTTCAAAGATAGTTATAATAAACAGATGGCCTCTTAGCATAGTTGGCAGTGCGTTTCCCTAGTAAGGAAAAGGTCGTGGGTTCGACTCCCGCAGAGGCCTTCCTCTTTTGTTACTTTTTCATTCAATAGACCTGTTCTAAATTTATTTTTCTTTTTTATAGTTCTTTTATTAATATTTAAAACTTTATTCTTTTCTAAAAATCCTTTCACTTTTAAATTCAATATAAGATTTAAGGTAAATGGTCTCGTGGCGCAGTGGAAACGCGTTTGCCTCCTAAGCAGAAGATCGTGGGTTCGACCCCCACCGGGATCGTTTACCATTTATTATTGATTATTTTAAACACAAATACCATACCCTTGTTAATTATAATATTTTTATCAATAATATTGATAAGACAGGGACCAAGAAAAACTTATAAGATAAACAAATAAGTAGCAAGCGTGGCCGAGTGGTCCAAGGCGGCAGTTTAAGGTACTGTTCTTTTCGGAGGCGTGGGTTCGAACCCCACCGCTTGCATTTTGCTTAACTTATACTAGATCTTTTTTATCTTTTTTT